TGGGTCTGTAAATGCTGGAGGGAAGCCCTCCTCGACATGCCACGAATCTGGTCAAATCTTTCTGTCGCAATACCTCGCCATATCGTTAAATCTGTTCCAGTCCTCAAGCGGCGGATCGAATTAGCCAAAGGCACACCTCTCAATGTCACCCTTAGTGCTCAATGCGAAGGACGCAAATTGGGAGTGGTAAAGAACCTTCATTCCCTCGTATTCGCTACCGGAACTCACCGTTGGCGTTCGCTGACTATATTGTGCGGGCAGCACGATGAGTTGAAGGATTGGATCCCTTCCATCTTTCATGGAGAATTTTCTTCCCTTGAAGAACTGGATATCCAGTACACATACACGCCAGAGGATGATATTTACGAACCGATATACCTTAGCATCGAAAGTACGGCCAATCGCCTCCTTTCCGTCAGTCTCGTTGAAAGTCAAATTTTGCCCGAATTTTTGGAACGGAAACGTGACTTTTACTCCGGTCTCGTAACGTTCAAAGCTGGATTACACCTCGCTTTGGGATTGCGATCACATAACCTTTTGAATTTGGAGCTCCGTGGGGATCAGTTGATAGGAGACGTATCCAAACTGAAGTTTCCCCCAACCCTTTCCCTTCCATCCCTTTCCTTGGATTTGTTTCAACAGTGCAAGTTTGACAATGTCACCCACTTGGCCGTTCATAGGCTAGAAGCGGAAGGTTCCTGGGCAATATGGACCGTCAATCTACCGTCCTTACTATCCCTTACGTGTCGAATCGCCAAGCTTTCTGCTCTTCCAAGTATACAAGCTCCTCATCTCAAGTACTTTTCCATGGGTATATGGACTCCAAGTCTTGACCATTGGAGACGTCCGGATAACCAAGAAGATCGGGATATCACAAGAGTTTTTCAAGCAAGAACATTTTCCATACAGATTAGACCTACGACATTACGCCTTGAATCTCCTATCCCTCTGCAATCATTATGCGTCATTCTACAAAGATGGCCTCAGATAGAGCACCTCTCATTCCATGGTGGATACGATTGCACTTCGCTAAAGGAGCTCGAGAGTGCTCTGACCGCCAGAGAAAACATTTCTG